TTACATCTCCAGCTCCCCTAGGCACTACCCTGTCACAGTCTCCATTCCTTGGAGCCTAGGATGCTGCACCAGCCTTCTAGATGGTCTCTGACACCCACTCCCCATGTCTTCCAAGCTGGGCAACCAGGGTGGCCTTGCAGACACAAATTCCAAGGCATTCCCCTAATGAAAGTGGCTTCTATTCCTCTCAGGATAGACTCAAATCCACTGTGTTAGAGGCCTGCCCTATTCCATGCTTAACCTCTCACCCTCATGCTTTGTCCCTCCCACCTCCACATCTGGGGCAAGGTGTCTGATCTGCCCTCTCACTCTTGCCTGACACTACTCCTTACTTGTCCTTTACAAAACATCCCATCTGCTGAAAGGTGAGGCCCCATCTTCACTTTTCACCCCTCACCCACTAGGACCCCAATAATTTCTCATAGCCCTCGACTTCCCCTCGCAACACTTCTTGTGATCCATAGTTAAGTGTACGTTTTATTAAAATGATTAATATATAGTGATTACTGGATGAGAGGTCTTTCCTCCTCTCCCCTCCCCCTGACACTTCACCCATTAGACTTGGCCCCGTCTGGAGTTCAGGAACAGACCTTCCGGCCTCTAGCATTAGGCTAGTATACCTAGGTTCTCAGGGCAGGTGTTTAATTAGCTAATAAAGGGAACCATTGGGTTTATCCAGCCACCACAACCTCCCTGGGGCAGGCACTCCCACAGATAGGAGGGATTCCAGAAAGGGGAGGAGCAGGACTCAAGTTCTGAGCCAGGATCTTTCCCCCGGATGATAGGCTAGGGCCAGGTCGAACTTTGAGCCTCGAGAGGCACAATCCAGATCACCTGCCAGAGGCTGGGCTCCGCTGGCTCGGCTCACAGGGAGTAAAGATCATAATCTGCTGCATATGCATGAGGGGACCATGGGCCCTGGGTTCAGGGCTGCCCATATCGTGCCTGATGAAAAATTCTTCGTGTTTGAAGACCCTGGACTTCTGCAATTTCATAAAACGACAGACGAAGTCCTTCAAGCGTTGTGAGTGGCGGATACTGAAGGGGAAATCCTATTTTGTGATCCTATTTCGGGCTATAGGAACAGGCGTCCGCTGAAGACAGCCCGATTTCGGACGAGGGTCCTCGGCAGACCGGACTAGAAGACGAAGGGGGCGTCTCCCCGGCTCCGGCGGCGTCGGCGGCGAGCTGAGGAGGAGGCTGGCTGCGACCGCGAGCGGCGACAGTGGCGGCGGCGCCATGGCGGGCCTCGCAGGTACCGTGGCGTCAGCCTACTCGGGGCGGGATGAGAGGGCCCCTGTGCGCGGCCGCGCCGCCATATTGTCCCTTCGGGGTCACCTTAGGCGTCGCTGGGTCCCTCACGGGTTTCCTCCCCCGCACTCCGGGCGGGGGTGGGGACGCCCCTGTCCGGCGTCTGGGGATGGCTGCCCTGCTTGGCCCCCAGCCTGGGCCTCGGGGGACGGGGTGGGGAGGGGTCCCTTCCTGGCGCGAAGGTGGGTCTCGGGGTTCCTAGGTCTCACCAAGGTCAGCGCCCTCTCTGGATGGGGTCGGCGGGGTGGGGGCGCGACCGCCACCTCTCCAACCTGGTCCCAGGCGGGATCGGTGGGGGGACCGCATGCTAGAGGCCTGGCCCTCGCCCGCCACTTCGACAGGACGTGAGGGAGAAAGAAGAGAAGGACTTGCCCCCCCCTCCCCGCCACCCCTCGGATCCGCTCTGGTAGCTGGGGTACTAGATGGCGCTTGGCTCCGGGGCGCGGGGTGCTTTTCAATCCCTGCAAACTTTACGTCAAGTCCGGACACCCCTGCCCGATCTCCTCCTCGTGCGGGGAGTGGCCCTGAAGGGCAGCCGAAGGAACGGGAACGCCCGTCACACTCATAGCCTGGAAAAGGAAGAATGGCAAGTGTGTGTGTTGGGGGGAGGGGGTTGGGAGGGGCGCTGGGGACAGTGGCTCTTCTCTTTTTTCCTTCCGTACCTCCTCTTTTTTTTTTTAAGTTTTTTTTTTTCCAGGCCTCTGTGTCCAATTTCAGCGATACATGTTGGGAGACTTGGGGGACTGCTGCCCTAGAAAAGAAACGACGTTTCTGTTTGTAGGTTCCCATCATCTTTTGTGCCTTTTAGGGAGCTGAGGTGTTGGGGACGGCGTCCCTGCCCTGCCTGACACGATCCCACCCATCCTGTCAGCCTCTGGACTCGGCAACTCCAAAGCTAGGACCAAAAAAAAAAAAAAAAAGTTCCAGCTTCTGTGCTTATGCCAACTGCTTCTTTGTTGCTTTAAATCAGAGATGAGTTAATGTTAAGCAAATCTGTATTTAAAAAAAAAAAATTGGGTTTCTGGAAGCCTGGTCAGTTTCCAGTGGTCAGATCAATTCTCTATCTGAAATTGATCTTCTTAAAGAATTGATGCCAAGATCAGTTTAATCTTTTATCTGTCATATGTTATTTTAAAAAGGAATGTAGGTTAGACTACATTTTTTTGTTCGTTTGCTCTCCTATCTTTGAAATTCAGGCATTCCATTTCAAGCCTGTTGCAGTGTGATATACCCCAGAGCCATGTGTTGCCTTCTTCTCTGACTTCCTGCCCTGGAGATGCTCAGGAATCTGAATCACACTGGGGTATATGCCCTGCAGTAGAGGGAAACCACAGGAGATCATTTCAGGGAATACAGTTTTGGGGTTATATGGAAGAAGTCAGAGGTCACCCCAAAAGCAGAGGCTTGTTAGACTAATGTGTGTTTATTTATATATAGAGACATTTAATCCTAGAGAGGGATGGAATTAACTGCACATGCAGAATCTCCCTTCTGTGTGTTTGTTGACTCCTGAGGGAATACAGTTTGAAAATAGGTATCTAGTAAATGGCTCATAGCACACCTGCTTCCTCTTCCAGCTTTGGTTCACTGAGCTGTGGCTGGCCCTGAAGCCAAAGCTCAAGAAACTTGTTCTCACCCCACCCCTCAAACAAACATCCAGTCACAGTTCAGACACTCCACAGATAGAGATAACAATGTCTCTTGGTATCTCTATCTAGAGAACACTGAAAGACACGATCTGTGTCTTCTGAAAGTTGTAACCTACCCCCTCCCCCCCATTCAACTTCAACTGGTTAGGCTAAGAAACTAACAACCTTTCTCAGACAGTAATACCAAGAGTCTGACCTCTTGCTTGGGGTCCCACAACGCCATTCCAATTCCCTTGAAACATCATCTGTTCCATTCTTGACCTTGTATGTGTGGGCTAGCAGTGGTTTAGGGTGAGTTCTGTGTACTACAACTTTACAATAAAACAAAACCTCTCATTGCTCTGCAAGAATAAAATGTTTTAATGGTGTAGCTTGTGGAAAGCACTTTATAAACAAGATGTGTTTGGACCAGACTCGTAGCATTGCCTGAAGAGGAAAAGGAGATGGATTCCTCTGTCTTCTCCAGTGGCTTTAGTCTGCAGGAGGGTTTGGGGATGGGAGCTGAAAGTAGGAATGGGTCTCTCTCACAGTCAGGCCACCCATTGGGTTCAGGCCACAAGAGCAGCCCTTTCCTGGATGTCTTTCATCTTACCATGCTACACTTAGAACTCTGCTGAGGATAGATGGAGGAAAAATTCTGCCGAGGTCATCTGGAAAGCCCAGGGTACCAATAACCCCCTGTCTTTTGGGGTGAGCATTGGGGGAAGGGTGACAAGGTGTACTGTGTTCTAAGCAGCCAGATCATTCACTACTGTGACTTTCTTCCCTGAACTCAGCTGTTAGCTGCCCTGGGCTGAAATAGAACACCTGGGGCAATGGGAAATGGTACCCATCCTTGGCAAAGCTGGAAGGGACGAACAGAGAACCCATGTTGAAGGATGGGCTGTGATTTAGTGTAGAAAACCTCAGAAACTTCCCATTTTGAGGCCTGCCAAAACGGAGACTTGCTTCAGCTTCAGGCTGTGGTAGGCCTGTAGCCATACCATTAAGGAAGATAAGAGGCTCAGATTGCACATCCCACTAAAATCCTGAGTCCTGACTGCCACTTTGATAGATTATTCCTAGTATCTGAGGGTTCATTTGGGATCTTGATGGAGAACTAAAAGGAGAAGGGGCGGGGGTTGTTAGCCTGCTTGGTGGCCGAAGCTGACTTGATTCAGGGCAAAGCCCAGACCAAACCAAGATCTGCATCCTTTGCTTCCATATACCTCTACTTTGAATGAAGGTGGTGTCTTTACAGGTGTCCATGGTTGGGCTGAGGAATTTAAGGGGTGTGCTTAGGGCAGGGAACAGGGTTCAGAGGGGTAAGGTGCTTCATGCTCCTGAATGAAACAACAGTGACTAAGGGATTTGAGGAAGTGGCAGGAAAAGGGATTTATGGCCTTATACCTCCCTCCTTTGGTGTTGACCCAGGAACAGATGTGTAGTGACAGGGATAGAAAAAGCTGGAGATGAGGCTGAACAGGTGGTAGGGTCACTTGGTGGGAGTTAGCTGACTGCATGTAAAAAGAGCCCTGACTCACTGAGGAGTGAAGGCAGCAGAGCAGCCAGCCACCCTTCCTAACATGGCGAGAGAGCCCTGGGCAGGGTCTGGTGAGATCCTAGGGATGGGGAGGTTCCTGCAGAGTAGGAAGCCCAGGGCGGTTGGGGCCAGGCCAGAGAGTTATAAGGCCCGGCAAGATGGCTTTGCAATGGTCCTGAGGCTTAGAGCATTAAGCTGTCGAAAAGGGGACACCACACCACACCTATCCCATATTCACTGTACCACCTGGTGTCACCGCCCCCTCTCCCGCCCCCACCCCCCAGCAGTGTCTGGATAGGATCTAGCTTGTGTTCTGAAACTACCGCTGTAGGTCCTCAGCACCCTACTTTAGTGCCATGCCCCTCCCACCTTCACCCCTCCTCCCCCGCCCCCATCTTTCCCAATAGGAAGCCATGGCCTCTTATTCTGAGACCATAAGTGAGGGCCCCCACCCATCTGGAGAGGGGGAGGGGTTCCTTATTTGGAGACTAGTAAAAGAAAAACTACAAGACACAAGCTTTTGGTGTTCCCCCACCACCCCGCAGGGTCCTAGGACACTGCAAGATGGGGGAGGCACTCTTTTATTTTTTGCAGAGGCGGTCCCTATCCTCCAGGAGCTTACAATCTAGCTGGGGAGACACAACTAAGCAGACTAAATCAGTACAATTAGCGTTTACTACAACACAATTGCGTGAGACCGGGGAAAGCAAGATCAGTGAGGGGCGGGGGGTTCGGAGAAGATGTTTTAGTAGAGATGGGATTAATTTGCTGGTTGAATAGGTCCGAATCAAGTGACACATTTGCGGGGGGTGGGAGTGGGCTTGGGAGGCAGTAGGGGAAAGGGGGAATGAGGGGCAGAGGCAGCAAAGTACAGGTGCCATACGCAAGGGACAGTGAGAGGGCCCCACTTAATTTCCTAACCCCCTCCCTTCTCGCTCATGCCCCGCCCCCTCAGTCCCGCCACACAGGCACAGAGGTGTTGCTTTTTCTGCTGCGCTGAGATTCAGGGCTTTTCGGCTGGTGATGTCAGAATGTCCATTCTGCTGGCCGGTGGAGTGTTGGGCTTCCACGGTAGGGCCTGCTGGTATGGCCGTGGCTTGCTGGCCGGGATGGCGCCGTCCCGGCTTCCTCCAGATCAGAATGTGGTGCCTATGCCCAGATGGGGGTCTGCTCCTCATCCCCCCCCCTCCCGCTCCGCCCACAAATGGGACGGGTGCAAAGGGATGGGAAAGGGTCTGGTTTCGTCGTCATTGTCGCTTCTCCGGGGGGCCTGCCGGCCCCTCACTGACCTTGGCTAGTGCCCCTCTGGCGAGGGAGCACGGGGGACCCCCCATTCCTGTGCGGCACTGGCTCCCGTGCTGAACGAGATGCACAGGAGCACCTGATGACACGGCCGCCCAGGGCTGGGAGGTGGGCCCTCAGTTGGGGGCTCGCTGCCGGCGCTCCCCCAGCACCTGACGCCCGGTCCGGGACACGGTGTAGGCCAGCTTCTGCAGGGAGTATCTGAACACCTGTGGCAAGAAACCTGATCTTAGTGGAGAGCACCAGTAGCCAGTCTGAGGTGCTACCATGCCCACCCCGGCCCCACCCCCGGCCCCGCCCCTCCGACGCCTGTCCAGCGTGAACCAGAGAGGCGGGCCTGGGCGCAGCTTGTCCACGAGTCAGGGCAGCTGGGGCTTTTCCAGCTGTGCTGAGAGCTGCATGGCGGCAAGCTGATTGGAGCCAGACTTAGGTATACCTCACTTCTTGCAATGGGCTGTGTCCCTGGAGGATTTCGAAAAGCGAATCCTACCCAGTAAATGCAGCATTCCAGGAACACCTTGAAGGAAATATGCGATTCCTTTGGCAAAGGCTTTCTTTAGCAGGGAATTCTTCAAAAGGGAGCTTTTAGGGTAAATGACTTTGTGAGCAAAGCGCTTTATTCTGTCTGATTTAGTTTGATGCAAAGCACTTTTGCCACAGTTCTTCAATAAAGTCATATGTATTTTTTTTGGGGGGGGAAGCACGTTTCTCCCCTTCCATTTTTTTTTCCTGTGAAGAGCTTTTTCCCTCTCATTGTTTTTTGCTCAGTGCTTTTGTCCAATTCATTTGTTTTTATTAGCTCGTTTGTCTTTTTTTAAAACTGCAATGCGACTTTTATCTAATACTTTTTTTCTACCAAGTGTTTTTTTGTCTGATTCCTTTTTCCTGCAATGTGTGTTTTCCTTTTCTTTTTCCCCACTTAATTACTTTGTTTCAAACTTGTAGGGTTCTTTTGTGAAGTTTTTTTAAAATTGAGAAGTGCCTTTTTTTAAGCCTGTTTTCCATAGTACCCCCTCAAGTGCTATATGTTAAGTGTGGTATGTATTGTTTTAAAGAAATTTTCCCCGCAGTGCGCAATTTTTAAGGCGGAAATTTTTTGTTCTGTGAGCATTACCGTCTTGCCACACACATGTGCCCCGCCTCCCTCCTGAGGTCCAGTTGGTGTGTAGCGTGTTTTTCTTACCACTTAGGTCGCTAAAAGCCTCGGCGATCGTCCACAGCGGGCAACCGCCGCGCCCCAAGTCTTTGTTCCCGGCTGGGCGCGGGCGCACCGGGGAGGGTCTACACGGGGAGGTGGCCGCGGGGAACGGGAGGAAGTACGGGGATGCGCAGCGGCACAGCGGCACTAGGGCAGGCAGGGATCCCAGGGATCGCGGCAATCGCGGGATTGGACGGGGTCCGGGAGGCGGCAATCGCGACGCGGGTTTGGGATGCGCGCATCGGGAGCCGTCTCCCACCCAGAGCCCGGGCACACTTACCTGCAGCAGCACGCGAAAGATGTACCAGCCAATGATGAGCAGTTCAGCCGAGGCTGCCGCCACTGCCGCCATGGTTCCGAGCGTGGTGGATGGATCGAGCGAGGGTTCGCCGAGGTCCGCGGGTCTCCTGGAGTCCGCTGGTCTCCTAGAGTCCGCTGTTGGGCGCACTGCCGCAGCCGCGGCGGCCGCGCCTTAAGTACCCGCCCGCCACCTGAGTGCGCATGCGCAGTTAGGAGGGGGCTGTTCGGGAGGAGGGGTGGCCCGGGGTGCCCCTCGTTCGCCAGGAGAGAGAAAAACAAAAAAACAACACGCACAAAAAATCCACCATCTGCTCTTTCCTCACCGCCCCCCACCCCGAGGCCCATCTGAGCCCCTTTCCAGAAGCCTCCGCCTTTCCCGCTTTTGAATTTCGGTGTGAAATGGAGGGGCGTCAGGATACTGGGTAGAATACGGGGTGCAGATTCTTAGTGCGGCATCCCTCTCTTCAAGCCCTGATCTGGACAATCGAACCCAACGTCCGCTGCCGCGACACAAACGTAACCCCGAAGTTAGGGAAGGGGCCTCGGTGCCAGGGGACCACCTTCCCGGCGCCGTGGCACCGCGTCCCACTTAGCACCTTCCGCATTCTCAAGGAGTTTAATGCAGCCCTGTCCTCTTCGTGCCCGGGGGCTGTCAGTGCGTAACCCTTCCCGGATTCCTGGCGGCTCGGCCCCGCGCGGCCGGGCTGCCGATCCGCGGCTCCCGCAGGGCGCAGGAACTCAGCAGCGCGTCCTCGGAGGGTCTGGGCGGTCGCATTGGAGGGAAGCATCGGGGCCCTTTGTGTGTGCAAAAGGAACGTGCAGTACAGGGAAGTGGCCAGAACGTATTCAGGGGTAGTTTTCGATAAGCCACATCACCTCCTGTTTCCCCGCTCGCTCTCCCCGACCCTCCGAGGTGGGCCGTGTGGTTCTCCGTGCCGCGCCAGGCAGCTGGAACCGGAGCAGGGATTCACAGGCTACTTGTGGGACTGTCGTAGCTGGGTTTGAAGGTGATATGAGTCGCTCTCTCTGAGCGTTCATCTTGCTGATCCCTAGCGGAGCAGGGGCTGCGGGTCCTTCTGAGAGTACCCATTTAGGGTCCCTCTCAAGAGCGTCCATCCTTCGGGCCCCTTTCCGAGAGCACATCCTGCAGGCTGCGGCGGGAAGACCTAGAGCCCCGCTGCGAGCAGGGGCCCTAAGCTCTGCTCTGCCACAGACTGCCTGGCACAGAGATCAACTGGCCTTGGCCCATATTTGTAGATAGGAAATTTTGATTAAAGGCTCATAGAGGTCAGGTTCTGTACACTGCCAGCAGTGGTTGGATATATAATGATCCAAGCCAGTTTATTTTGGTTCGAAGTAGTGGTGCATTGGCTTTAGAAGAAGTTCACCAGTTTGGGCAATTTGAAAAAGGCAGGCCTGACCTAGGCCACCACTTGGGGATCCACTACCTATCTTCTGTCTCCAGCCTGCAGTGCAGTGGTGACTTATTTAGACCAATCATGGCCTCATTGTTGAATCCAGTACCTACTGCTAAGAGATTAGATGCAGAACCCTTTCTCACCACAAGGGGGCAGAGCAGAGAGCAGATGGTGTCCTGTGGCCAACCACAGGGTGGTATTGTGAGGTCTGGGCCCTTTGAGGACGGACTGCAGCCCCAGGAGGCTATACATGATCTCTGCTGGGCAGGGCCACTCCCCCGGCAGAGCCGGTCCACTGTGTGACCCACCAAAGAGCCCTCTCAGGAAGACCCCAGTTAGAAGCCCGGGGGGGGGGGGTGGAAAACCCCAGGAGGTTTCTCAATCTGGTGACTGCAGAGTAGACCTTCCATTGGGTGGGTGGGGAGGAAAGGGCATTCACATTTGCTGCTGTTAACCACGATCCATTTTTCCAAATAAGTATACATTCTATTCCTGTTTTTTTTGTTTGTTTGTTTTTTGTTTTGTCTGTCTGTTTGTCTGTCTGTTCTTTGTTGTGTTGACTTTTCTCTTCAGGATCCCTGCTGCCTTGGTGATCCCAGGCTGACAGCCAGAGAGCACAGCGGCTCAGCTCCTGGAGAGAGGGTTGAAGAAAGTGGAGGGCAGCTGCCTGCGCCCACTGGCTCCCATTAGGTCGGTTCCTGCAGCGGTACCTGGCAGCCTTGACGAAGGCCCTGCCTGGCAGAGATCATGTATTGCCTCCAGTGGCTGCTGCCCGTCCTCCTCATCCCCAAGCCCCTCAACCCCGCCCTGTGGTTCAGCCACTCCATGTTTATGGGCTTCTACCTGCTCAGCTTCCTCCTGGAGCGGAAACCTTGCACGATTTGTGCCTTGGTTTTCCTGGCAGCCCTGTTCCTCATCTGCTATAGCTGCTGGGGAAACTGTTTCCTGTACCACTGCTCTGATTCCCCGCTTCCAGAATTGGCACATGACCCCAGCGTCGTGGGCACCTAACAGCCACCCTGCTAACTTTCCAAGGAAGCAGAAGACGGGAGGGGAGGCACTGACATAGGTCATAAAGCATTGGAGTTTCAAATCCCGCAGCCTGCGGGTGCTACATTCCTGAAGACGCCTCTTTGACCTGTGATGTTTTATCCTTATAATGTGAATAATGGCACTGACCGGTGCTTTTATTGTAGAGTCCTACAGTCATGGGTGGTCTTGTGGTTGTATGTGTTCTGTCCCTATCTGGGTCCTGGCTGGTGGGATGGCCACCTCCCTCGCCTCATTGCCGCGAGGAGTCTTATCTACGCCATCCTGGTCAGTCGCCCCAGTGTTACCTGGGAAGATAAAATCCCAGTCTTCCTGTCACCTCTGTGATCCCTCCTGGCCAGGGTCTCCCTCCTTCTCAGAATGTTGCTGACTCCTCAGTCTGTTTCCTAGTTTCCCTTGTTTCCTCTCCCCCTTTCCTTTTTGGGGGGAGCACCTGTCTAAGACAGGACTTGTTTTTGCACTTATCTCGAATTTGAAGAGATTGCTGACGCCCAAGAGCCTCGCTTTTTTGTCCCTCTTACCCTGTTCAGCAGGCTAGACAGAAACGTGTCTTGACTGTTGGTTGTCCCCAAACCTCCAGTATTTTCTCAGCTTCATTTTTAAGAAAGAAGCATCAGATAGATGTTGCTCTTCCACCTGGGTGTCCAGGCTCATGCGTTCCAGCCTGGCCTCACTCCCTTTGCCCTTCTTCCTGCCTTTCTCAGCCTTCCTGAGGGGGGCCTTCCCTGTGTCTGCTGTGCATGCTCTGCAAGATGGACGTGTGGTGTGTTTGCATAGACTCAGCAGTCCCCAGCAGAATGAATTGGAAAGTATTTATGTGTTTCATAGCAGCCATGATCCCTTTGGTAGGTGTTTGGATATTTTTCTGTGTGTTCTCTGTGTGTGTGTGTATTTTGTGTGTGTATGTGTGTGCCTGTGTGTATGTGTACAAGTACATATGTATATTCCTTTTGAAGAAGCTTTACCGAACGTGTTCTGATTTTGAGGTTTACTAGTAGCTATAGTAGGTGCTGCTGCAGTTTTTATTTAGCATGGGAATTGCAGTGATCAGCACGGTGAACTCCATGGTGGTTCATTCAGACAAGACACAGGGGAGCAGTGGCCATCGTCTTCCATCTTTCTGCCAGGAGCTTCCTCATTCCTGTCACATAGACGGTACCTCATGGAGAATGTAATGCACAGGAAGACTTTGTGACTGTCATTTGCTTCCCACTCTCCCCCTCCCCCCCTTCTCTGCGCTTCAGTAGCAAGTGTTGGCAAAAGAGACTTTGTCCTGGCCCCTGCCCACCAGGGATCAGCATGCTTGTCCTTCCAGTTGGAGCCATCCCTCAAGGTTGTCTGAGGAGGGAGGGAGGTGGGTTTGGCAGAGGACAGAGCTGGCGGCAGGCCACGTAGGAAATCGCTTGTGAAACATGTGGACTGCTGTTCTAGAGCTTTCATTTTTGGTGTGTCCGTTACACAGCTGTTTGAAATGTTTAATAAAGCTTTATAAACTTTACTTTGTGATTTCATGTGGTTGCAGTCCATTTGGGTTGTGCGTGGTGTTGGGTTTCTTAGTTGGTAGGGGGCAGGGGGCTGAGGACTTGGCACTAGAGTACCTTAGTCTGAAAATTTGATCTGTTCTCTAGAGAGCAGATGGTGGGATTGGAGGAGAGGGAAGGGAGACTAGAACTAGGCAGGCGGTGAACACGAGGGAGTCTGAAAGTTTTCAGAGATGACACTTGGGTTTCTCAGCTTCCAGGGCTTCCTGCCTGAAATTGTTTCCCTCCATAGGAGATTTGAGTAACAGTTCCCTTGACAAACAACGTCAGACAGCTGGAGCTCTAATCAGCAAGGATTTTAATGGTGCTGCTTCTGAAGCAAAAATAAAATGGAAACCCCTCATGGCATTTATAAAGTGGAAAAATAAATAAGACTGTCCACCCAGAGGACTCCAGGCTGTGGCTCAGAGTGGGAGAAGGGTGTGGTTCCATGCTGTGAGTGTCCTGCTCTCATACCCATGCCCCAGGGAGACAGGGAGGCAAAGCTCGGCAAGGCCCGTGCTGCACATCTGCCTCTGAGTTGTTCCTCCTCACTCTGTTAAGAGATAGAGTAGCTCTGCTTGCCCGAGGCCTGGGACTCTTGTGAGAAATTACTGGTAATTTCCTGAGACATCACCTGCCTTACTTAGACTTTTAGTTACTGCTGTAACATTGTGTGCACTTTTCTTCTGCTCCTTTCCCATCTTCCACCCTTATTTCCTGCCTCCCACCCCCATCTCTACCCCATTCCTAGCATTGCTGATCCCTGCTTTTTCTTCTTGATTAAAACTTACCCAAGATGTGTCTGGTTTTGGCGACGTTTTCTAGGAATCAAACTTTTATCTATCACATCTACTTGGTACCCTCCCCCACCTCCCTCCTCCCATCTGGTTTTTTCCTGGGTTGTCCAGATCAGCTTGGCGGTTCTGCAGAGGCTTGACAAGCTGAGGACTTGTACATACAGAGAGGATGGTTTGTTCAACAAACACTGAGAGCCTGTACCCGGCTTGCTAGGGATTTCAGGGCAAGACCCAGGACTGACTCCCTGGGACCTCACAATTCTAGCTTAGTGGAAAGACTTAACAAAATAGACAATTGCAAATTCCAGAAACAAACCAAACAAACAAAGGCTTTTGTGGCCC